ATCCTCGATGGGACATCTCCATCCCCCTGCCCTCCCTTCAGTGGACTGGGGATCTTGCCTCTGTAGTAGAGCGGGAGGAGATGGGGGTCTCTGGCATCTAGGTTGCTCCCAGTCACCTTTGAGTGGCTTTGCCAGCCCGATCTGGGCAACCTGAGGAGCTGTGCATGGCCTGACCCAGACTTGCAAAATGCAAAAGCCAATGCCTCACACCACCGAGCCCAGCGCAGGTGCCCAGGGATGCACATTCTGCCACAAAAGAGCCCAAAAATGCCACCAGTACCCAAGCCCCACTGCAGCAGGGAGCAGAGGGATGAGATGTGCCACAATGACCCCAGCAGGTGAACATCCTTGGGACCCTGGGCACCAGTGAGGCCACCCCATGGGGGAACACAGTGGGCAGCTAGGAGGGGCTTTCTGGTCCATATCCACCTGGAGTTTCCTTTCAGGAGCCCTGTGGTAGCTGCACTGACCCTCATGAGAATCATAGAATCACAGAATGGTTTGGGTTGGAAAGGACCTTAAAGATCATCAAGTTACACCCCACCTGCCGTGGGCAGGGACACCCTCCACTAGCCCAGGTTGCTCAAAGCCTCATCCAGCCTGACCTTGAGGCACCCACCAAAAAGAAAGCAGTGCTGCGGTCCCCAAAGCAAACACAGCAGCAGCTGGAGCTCAGGGGAGGATGTTCAAGGAAAGAGGATGGTGTGCAGGCCCGGGATCATGGTGGTCCCAAGGCCACGGGGGGTTGGCAAACCCTCTGTTCCCCACACCCACTGCCTCCAGCTCTCCCAGGGAAGCTGTTGCATTGTTTCCAAAGCAGCTGAAAAAGGGAACAATGAGTGTGAAACCACAAACCATCCCCAGAGACCCTTGCCAGACAAAACGTCACTCATCAGTGTATCTCCATTAATAATTACCTTTGGAGATCTGACACTGAGCTGGTCTTTAATTCATTATATTCATTCATATGCCCTCTTAATGCAATGTAATACGCATTTTTCATCAAAGTGTCACCTCATAATAAATCAGATGCCCAGAAGAAATGCAATTTTGTTCTATCAGCAGAGTTTCTCTATCAACCAGACCTATAATCGTGTCAAGAAAAAATGACAGGTGCGTTTGAAAAGACCTACCTTCCACAAAACGGTGTTCCTGGACAGAAATTGTATTTCTGCCCTATTGCCCTTTGTTAATATACAGCCAAAATGAGACCACTCCATCATTTCATCTGGGATTGATCGATGGCTGTGTCCTGGTGCTCCTGTGTCCTTTGTCCCTGACTGTCCCCTTAACCCCACTTAGGTGCTGAATTACAGGGGGCTGGTTACAGGTTTCTAGCATCTCCTGGAAGCTGGTGTTGGTCCAGGCAGCACCTCCTCCAGGTCCTTGAGACTTCTGAGCAGTGCTTAGCCCCACTTTCTTGACTTTCTGTGTTGCTGTGTTCAAGCCAAGCCTTCCTCTCCCATCCTTTGAGCATCTCCTCCTCCTCGTGATCTGCAGGTGGGACTCCTGCAGCTCCAGGCGAAGGCTGGCTGTGGGGAACCATGGACGAGCATCACACACCTTTATCCTAGAGGCTTCTGCAGACCACATCTGCCAGCACAAAACCACCTCCAGCCTGACACTCACTCTGGGAGCGGGTGGTGGCCAAAGGACACGGTGAGGGCCGTGTCCGGTGTGGCACAGGCAGCAAGGTGACATGCCACGAGGTGGCAGTGCTGCCTCAGCCATGCTTGGTGTCACCTGCCCATCAGGGCTCCCCTTCCTCTTCCAAAAGCAGGGGCTGGGGCGAACCCCCTGGGTGTCCCCGTGTCCCCAGAGGCCACACTGTGGGATGCCCAGCTGCAGAGCAAGCACACGGGCATTTCTACCTCCTAGTGATCACATGTCGGGAGCCAGAGTAACCCAGCTCCCTCCTGCAAACACAGCCCCCGTGGATTCACACACGCCATTCCCCCAAGCTGGGGGTGGTCTGGTACCCCCTGAGACCAGGGGAGGGGTGGTCTGTCCTTGGTGAGGGCCAAGCCATGGTGGAAGGTGCAAGGGGTCGCGAAGCCCTGGCGGGTTTTTCCTAACGGCCGCACCCCCCCAGCCCCACCACCAGCAGGATCCAGCATGGCAAAGGGGCAGGGACAATGGAGGGGACCGCCAGCTGACATGAAATGGGGTCAAGCCCAAGGCAGAAGGGAAGGTCGGTGTATGCTGGACTAGCCAGAGGATGTAGGTGCTCTGGGGAGCCCCAGGCAGCCCCAAATCCATCCCCAAAGAGGACAGCCCTGAGTCTGGGGCAATGTGGCCCCTCTGGTGAACATCCACATCATTTAGAGCATCTTTCATGGGCACCTGCTCTGCTGCAGACCCAGGACCAGCCTTGCTCCAGATGGATCTTACCCTGAGCAACCCTCCTCCTCCTTTCAGGATGGGCCATGGGTCAGCTCCTTCGCCTCCTTGCTGCCCACCCACCTTGTGGTCCCAGGCAAGATAGGTCAGTGCCAGCCCAGCCTTGCACCCCTTCATGGAAGAAAAGCCTCCTCCCTGCATCCCCAGTGGCTGCAGGCACACGAGCTGCCTGACAGCAGACAAAAGGGAGAGATGCTTCCCTGCTGGGGATCCCCTGGGGTGCTGAGCACTGACAGGCAGGAGCTGCCAGAGAGGATAAATCAGGGATCTAGCACCTACCTGTCACAGGAGACAGTGACAAAGGCAGACGGCAGGACATCAGAAGTACTGGCAGGGGGTGGAAACAACTCTGCCCAC